AAAAAAAAAAAAAAAAAAAAAAAGAGCAGTCACGAAATTCAAACGAAAGAAAAACGAGAAAGATCGGAAAATCTGCGATCGATGGGATTCACGGGTCGAGGCCGAGGCAGCGGTAGTACCAGCCCTCCAAGAACGAGCCGAAGCAGAAAGAGTCGTCGGCCGAGATCGAGATCGAGATCCCCCTTCTGGAAGAAGAAGAAGGGATGACCATAAATTTGCCGCTCGAAATTTCTACCATTCACGACGAGCAGGGAGAAGGGGGAATTGCAGGAATAAAATCAAGAATCGTGGAGAAGATGAAGGGCTAATGATATCAGGAACGGATCAGAACGATGAACAAGAAATTGGGGCCGATCGAGATATATTGATATGAATGAGGAGGAGAAAGGGACGAGGTTTTATAGCTGCGCTGTATGCCGATTGCCGACTGATTATAGGGTTAGGACGGTGAATTTTGTCATGTGATCTTTTTTAGTCCATATCGTATGCGGTTACATTATTACGACTTTCCATTACTAAAACAAGATGCAATTATGTTTAAGGGTGTGATTGGGTATAATAATGTCATCGGCTTGATTAATTTTCATGTCAATTGTTATCTATTACATCTATTCTTCCAATTAATATAGTTCGTTAGGTTGTTTTACTTTTGATATATGATTCATTAATTTATAAGAATGGTTAGATATTAGCATGTCAAATGAAGGTCTATTGCGCGTTAGTTCGCGTGTCTTAGAAGCAAACCAAAAAATTATCAAGAAATATGATCTTTATCACATCGTCCTAGTACAGTAGTACACCCGTCCGCAAGCAACAACACGAGACGCCGCAGAGACCAGCAGATCTCACGCAGCAGAGTGCACCAACGGATAGTCCGCGTAGCCCCATGCACCAGCGTGCCCCAGCCGGCAACCTAACAAGCACCCATGCGACTTGCAGCGACTCGACCATGGTCCGGCAGCCCCCGTGCAACGTGGTGAAAACCGACAACGGTTCGGTGAGGCCCTAGGCGATCCCAGACGTGACTTGGACTTCAAGAACTGCAACGAGGCAATCACGATGGGATGAAGACCGCGAGACACAGACGATCTCCATCAACGAAAATCAGAAACGTCTCAGAGTCGGCAAAAAAATTTGTACGGTATGCGTTGAACCCTAACTTTTAGTTCCGTTGTGCTTAAGGTTCAATTCGGATATTTCGTGAATTGCATAAATTTGGCGTTCCTAACCGAGCCCCAACAGATTTGGGGTCGGTTTGGACAAATTTTGAGGCTATATAATTAGCCAAAGAAGAATAAAAGTTAACCCCGTCAAAATAAAAGTTATCTTGGACTCCAACCAGTGACGGATTTAGAAATTTTATTCAGGGGGGGGGGCGATTTTAAATGTTAAATAAAGAGCTTGTAGATTAAGTCGAAACACTCATTTTATATAAAAATATATTTACTATGAATATAAATATAGATATGTGCACCATCAAGTTTTTATAAACTTAGAATCACTATCACCCTAAAGCTTTTTAAAAAATAAACAAAAATAATAATAATGAGATTTCATGTATTTATAATTAAAGTTCAACATCTATAATTTATCGTAAAATAAGTTTTTTAGTTGAAAAATTAATTTAAATTGAACTTTTGCACCACATTGCATAGCATTTTTATTGATAAGAGCTTATCAAATAAACTTATTTTAAGGAAAAAAAATAAAATTTAAAATATGTGATTACACAAAAAAAAAAGAGTAGAAATCAACATTAAAATATATAAAAATACAATTAATAAATAATCAGTTTTATAAATCGCTTAAATTTACAATTAAGAGAACGGAATGAGTAAATCATTATAAATATTTTCATAAGCTTATCTAGAAATTTAAAATATGAGGATTGTTGGTACAGTTTTCAATAAATAAATAGTGTCATTAATGCAAATAAAAATAGCATAAAAAATAAGTTTTAATTATTAATATATTGAAAACATTTTTTTTAAATTTTTATACATATTTGATAGTATTATATATATATATATATATATATATATATTGATTTTTAATAAGTTTTAATTATAATATATTATATAAGAAAATTTTCACTTTTTTAAGTTTTAATAAGTTTTTTACATTTTTACACTTTTTTTTTTGGGTACAAGAACACTTTTTAATGAAACTTGTACGCTACTAATATAAAGAGTAATCTCAAGCTATTTTTATTTTGGCATTTTTGTAAATTTTACTTGGTATATTTTCTTAATATATATATATATATGTACTTAATTTTTACAAAAAGTCAGAGGGGCCCACGGGCCCCCCTGGCCCCCATCTGCATCCGTCTTTGCCTCCAACCTCGATAAAGCGCGTCCAAAGCCTAACCAGATGACTTGCATCACTCAGTCGTTTTATATCAAAGACCACGAATAAACGCAAGTCGTTCTCGACTCGTAAGAAAAGGGAATAAGTTCGAGTGGACACACGAGTGCCAAAAGTCCCTCAAGAGCCTGAAAGAAGCCTTGATCCAACTGTCCATCTTGCATAAGCCAAAGTCGGGTGAAATGTTGCACATATACCTTGGGGTCACGAGCTTGGCAATAAGCAGTGTCCCTCATATACGCGAAGACAACTCGCAACAACATACGAGCGGGCCGGGCCATGGAAGAAGTTGAAGTCATTTTTTCTTTTTCCTTTCTAATTTTCATTATTTTTTTTTTTTGGTATAGGGACCTTTCGGTTTCCGGATCCACAGGGGAACCGACTAATTCGGAATCGAGCCGGGTAGGACCACAAGGGCGGCAAAACTCTTTCCATTGTTTTAGCTAACGTATTGTAGCGATTGTACACCCATTATCGGCCTTTCTTATCTGCATCACACCTCTTTTGGCATATTATTTATCAATCAATTTAGCAAATGCCTTGGTAAGACTCAGTTCTACTTATTATCATTAATTATGATTTCTTACCCGCGAGATAGCCACAACATAAAATTAGAATCAATCATGATTGTGAAACTAACATGAACTCTCCACAAACATATATATACCATCGAATTAATCTCTACAACCAAACATATTTTATAAAAACACTGAAAAATCCAAAAATAAAATTCACCAAAACATGATATCCATCCATTCATCTCAAAACACAAACCCTTGATCACTCAACCTTTGTCAATACGATGCGCAGTTTGGAATTCGTCTTACGGTAAGACCATAGCCGAACACTTGTCCCGATCACCAGCTTGTTTCGATTGATAACCTCTGTCCACCCGCCGTTCAACACATACGTCGAGTTCGATTCCCACAACGCCAA